ATATATATGCGCGTAAATATGTGTTGGTTGAAAGAAATTACGTATACGCCACGTTGAACTGAACTATGCGCAAAGACTTTAAACTTTTCCATTGTTTAATAATCCAACAACTGTTTTGATGATTTTATTTAAATATTTTCGTTTTAATTTTCTTCTACATATGCGATAGTATAATTTTTATGACTCTAATGGTATGTAAAAGAAAAAAGAGAAAAACAAAAAAAAAAAATATAAATTATAAAATTATTTTACAATAATATCTGAAATTAGTTCAGTTAGATCTGTTTTGCTCCGTACAGTACACTGCCAACTGATACCGTCTGATTCATGCTGCAATTGGCAAAGTTAAAATGAATTTAATTTCTTTCTATTTGCTCTATTGTACCGCCTGTTCCTGCCTGCCTGCCTGCCTGCCTGCCTGCCTGCCTTCTTATTTGCTTCTTTGCTTTGTATTATTTCGACTCTAAAAATCTTTATAATTAAATTCGCAATCTCCACTAAAAATTATTATTGTTATTTTTGTTGTTTTTGTTGTTTTAGTAGTTGTTGTTGTTGTGTACATTTAATTTTTTTTCTCGCTAAACATTTGTTTATACGTAGACACCTTTGTATTTATGTTCTAAAATATTCTTAAAATATGGTTTCCACTAAGATTTTTTTGTTTTTGCTTCTAACTTTTCGTTATTTTTGTAGTTTAAATATTGCAATTATTTTGTATTCAAATCATTAATCAAGTGAATATTTTTTTTTTGTGCTCTATGGTTATAGTCACCGCTTCGGTTAGTCGTAGTTTTAGGTATTGTGGGTGAGCATGTAATTAACAATATATAATAAAAATTATTTTAATGAAAATGCTTTTATAACAACATTTTGTTAAATACTTTTTATGTTATTATGTGGAATGTGTAAAATAATTTTTATTATTTAACAATCAAAGATGAAACTGGCTGGCATGTGCCGTAAAAAAAGTTGTTAACTTGTAAACAAACATTAATTATTTTATATACAAATTTTTAAAATTATTTGCTTTTGTTTTTAAAAATTAAAAATACGTACAAGATCTTAAAATTTTTAAATTTTTACATTTGGTCTTTAATTTTAATTTTAAAACATTAATTTAAAACAAATCATTAAAATTTATTATATATTTTTTGCTTTTGTTTTTAAAAATTAAAATAAATATACAAGATCTTTAAATTTTAAAATTTTTGCGTTTGGTCTTTAATTTTAAATACAAATTATAAAATTTTATTATATATTTTTTGTTTTTGTTTTTAAAAATTAAAAATATATACAAGAGCTTTTACAAGCCTCAGTAATTAAATATTATATTTGTAAAGATGCAAAAAAATTATACATTTTGTCTTTAATTTTAAAACATTAATTTTATATACAAATTTTTAAATTTTATTATATATTTTTTGTTTTTGTTTTAAAAATTTAAAAATATATACAAGATCTTTTAGTTAAAATTAACATGCCTCTGTAATTAAATATTGTATTTGTAAATATGCAAAAAAATTTTTCGTTTTGTTTTTTATTTTAATTTTAAAACATTAATTTTATATACAAATTATTAAAATTTATTATATAGTTTTTGTTTTAAAAAATTAAAAATTTATACAAGCTCATTTAGTAAAAGTTTTAGATGCTTCAATAATTAAATATTATATTTGTAAAGATGCGAAAAAATTTAACATTTTGTCTTTAATTTTTATATAAATTAACATTCTATATAATAATAATTTTATTATATAGTTTTTGTTTTTGTTTTAAAAAATTAAAAATATATTCCATCGTTTTTGAGTAAATTTTACATGCTTCAGTAATTAAACATTATATTTGTAAAGATGCAAAAAAATTACATATTTTGTCTTCAAAAAATGTTATAGTTATATAGATCATTGCTTCTATTCATATCGCAATTAAATAACTTCCTCGAATGGTATTTTTTTTCGCACTAGCTGGAAAGCAACGACAGATACAGTGTAAGATTTAGAAAACACCTTAGAAATGAATGGAAAAGATTTTTACCACTGCGCTTGAAGGCAGTGCGGAAAACTTCATTTTAGTAATTAGGGCTAGAAGTTGAGATCGAGAGATTTAGTATTTACAGTCTAGTTTTCTCTTAGCAAAAAGTCATGGTCGTGTAATAGGGGAGAAGGTGTTACATAGAGGCGTTCATCGCAAGATAATATTTGATCGGAGTATTTGTATTTTTAGTGATAATAAATGGCTTATTATTTCGCTACCTGTTGTATTTTTACAACATACAATTTGTTTTTGGAATGGTACATATTTGTTACCAATGTATACATATGTTAACCTGAAAAAAATATGGCTCATAACAAGACTCTTGACATTATATTATATTATACCTGAAAAAAAATATGGCTCATAACAACACTTTTGAAAATTGTACGACCAATAAATTAGTCATAACTCAATTGCCTTAGGTGTAAAGCTCCCCTTAGCTTAATATCTACATGAAATAAGAGCTTTAAAACACACATGCTAAGTCACATATGTGGCATGACGGACATGATTACATGATTGTAAAATCATATAAGAATAAAGTAATTGGTAATGATCGCTGCTTGGTATGTAAAACAATTACAGTACTAACAAAACACTTCCTAATACGTAAGTATGCTGATAGAGACATTTCTCATCACTAGAAGTTATCTAACCAAAACAGTTCCTTATTTTCTTAAATATCTATACGATATTTATATACCCAATGTGTGCACTACAAACAATATCCACTTCATTAAAACGATGCAGAGGGTTCCTTATACAGAAGAGAGATATCCTTAAATAACCCTATCTTTATGTTATATTATAGAATAGGGATATAAAATTCCTATAGTCAGCTAGTGCCTTAAAATGTCTCTGTTATATAGCACTTTACTTCTTAGCGTCTACTTGGGTCCGTTTTTATGAAACTGGTTGACACTGACATTTAATTATTATCTATAGAACAGAGTCTATTGACTATATGAATTGCTGATTAAAACTGAAGCCAGTTAATTTTATTTAATGTTTGTTTTGTTATATTTTTTATTTAATAACTACTGTCTATATTAAGATAAGTTATCGAAATAGTCAGCAAACGTACTGAAATGAAAGCATAAGGTGTTCTAGAACTTTAAGATGGTTTCTGTAGCATAAATTATACCAATTATTTCGAACTTGAATAGCGATCAATCCCAAAACAAATCTATCATCTATTTTATAAAATAACAGTATATTAGGTGGCTTACACGGGTTATATAGATACCTAACGATAATGCTGTGAAAAAAATATGAAAAAGAAGCAGTATGAAAGAAAACGAGAGAAGGAGCTGGATTAACACAGGCAGTAAAAGACCTAAGAAACGTGAATATCTGTAGTTACGAAATAAAAACAATGAACTGAACTATCCGGAGACAGATTACAAAGAAGATTAATGAATATCGCATTGTAATGCTATAAATAAATTATCTAAGTTTATGTTTCATTTAAATAAATTATTCACAATTATTTAGATAAATTCAACTAAAACCACTTTGAAACCTACAAATAAAAATCTTCTACAATTATTTATTTTATTCATGCTAAATGAGTTCAAAGAACTATTTTAATTAACCTGCTGAGATATAATATACGTATATGCAATGCTTTCGCTCTCTCTATAATAACAATCCGTCCCAAATGTTCGTCTACGTTGTACATTTTGCCAAAAGATTGCCTAATTTCAAAATATGTCTGCTAGAAAATTTACTAAATTTAAAATGAACTAATTAATTATATCTATTATTTTATCAAATTATATAGAAAATCAAGAGTACTCTAATAAAAATATGCTTTATTTAAATTAAAATAATGAAGGAATTTATTCACGCGCCTGTAATAAGAAAACAAAGTAAATTAGTTTTAACAAATTTAACAAAAATTTAAATTTTATTAGTTCAATTATATTGTTACCTTAACAATAATTTTCATTTGTTGTCTGTCTCATATACTAAACTAATTTTCTTAAATTAATGCTAAATTTATAATTATATACACATATATTCTAGTACCGCCATACGACATGTAGGCTTAAGAATATTTCACAAGAAAAATAGATTAAAGATTTTGGAAAAAAGACATATGCATTATATGAATGATTTAATTATTTCGAATAGGTGGGTGGAAACTAGAAAGAAAAACATAGAAAATATATTTAAATTCAGAGATAATGTTTAAGAATTTATTTTAAATACAAGAAATTTACTTTATGTACAATCCATATAGTGCTCGTCACCATAAGGTATATTCCATTTGTACGATTTCTATTTACAAGTATATTAGAGTCAAAAAATATGTAGCTTAATCGGCATACATGGTTAATAATTAACTTTTCTTTACTTTTATTATATAAAAAATATGTGATATAAATAAAAAATGTGTATTATATATAAACAATATATGATATATAAAAAATGTTCATGTTGATGTTAATGTTCATGTTGAGTCTTTTTCGAGTTAGTGCATTTGGGCACTTTTATTCTTTGATAGCTGGGGGGTTTCTGCAGATTCCCAACCTTCTCACTGACTAATTTATGTACCTATTCCTTAAAATCTTCGTGATTATACAATGACTGATCTAAGATCTGCGCACCGTCCCGTGCGGCGGTATGATATATAAAAAATATATGTATAAAAATAATGTATATAAAATATATATATATATACTTATACATATATATGTATATACGTATTTGATATGTTGTATTATATACATAAATTATATAAAAAGATAAAATGCAAATATATTTGCTCTATTCAATTTTTTACATATATATAAAAAATATATGTATGAAAAATATATACAAAAAATTGCCTCATATATGTTCCATATATGCAAATATATTTGTTCTATTAAATTTTTTTCTTAAATGACTTAACAATTACTATAAATGTTATTTATCAGCATAATATATCATTAAAATAATTTTATCTTTTTTGCTTATAGATTTTTTGCGTCATAATTGCTAGCGTCTACTAACAAGTGGCCGCGACGCGACGCAATAACAAATTTTTTTAAACAAATAAACAAAAAAATATACAAATTGGGGAAAAAAAGTCAGCATTTTGAGCAAAGAACCAAAAATGTCTTCGGCAACACAACAGCAACAACCAAACCAAAACCAAGGCGGTCAATCGACGGTGCAGCAAAATCAAAAGCAACCACAAAGTGCATCAGGTGCAGTCAACTCAAATAATACACATGACAAAGTGCCTGCTGGAGGAAGTGCTGGTGCGGGGAATGCACAACAACAAAGCCCAACAAAAAAAAGCGCACTTTCTACAAAAGATCGTGTTGTAGATAGCGTCCCCTTCCCACCTAGTCGTAAATTAACTATAGCCGATGTTTTTGATGCACGCACTGGTAAACTACATCACGATGTACTTAAGCAACATTTCATACTCGAGGGCCGCATTGAAGAGGCGGCTGCACTTCGTATTATACAAGAGGGTGCCGCACTATTACGCCAAGAAAAGACAATGATCGATATTGAGGCACCAGTTACAGTATGTGGTGATATACATGGACAGTTCTATGATCTAATGAAATTATTTGAAATTGGTGGTTCACCTGCTTTAACAAAATATCTTTTTTTGGGAGACTATGTGGATCGAGGCTACTTTAGTATTGAATGTGTTTTATATTTATGGTCATTGAAAATAACCTATCCCAATACATTATTCCTATTGCGTGGCAATCATGAATGTCGTCATTTAACTGAGTATTTTACATTTAAGCAAGAATGCAAAATTAAGTATTCGGAACGTGTTTACGATGCTTGCATGGAAGCATTTGACTGTTTACCATTGGCGGCTTTAATGAATCAACAATTTTTGTGTGTGCATGGTGGACTCTCGCCAGAGATACATGAATTAGAAGATATAAGACGTTTGGATCGTTTCAAAGAACCACCTGCTTTTGGGCCTATGTGCGATCTTCTATGGTCTGATCCTTTAGAAGATTTTGGAAATGAAAAAAATTCAGATTTCTACACACATAATTCAGTACGTGGTTGTTCATACTTTTATAGTTATGCAGCCTGTTGCGACTTCCTGCAAAATAATAATCTATTATCAATCATACGAGCACATGAGGCGCAGGACGCTGGTTATCGTATGTACCGAAAGAGTCAAACAACTGGTTTTCCCTCGCTTATAACCATATTCTCAGCACCAAATTATCTCGATGTGTACAACAACAAGGCGGCTGTGCTTAAATATGAAAATAATGTAATGAATATACGACAATTTAATTGTTCGCCTCACCCATATTGGCTTCCAAACTTTATGGATGTATTTACATGGTCTCTACCATTCGTTGGCGAGAAAGTAACAGAAATGCTAGTCAATGTACTGAATATCTGCTCTGATGATGAATTGATGACAGAAGAAAGTGAAGAACCCTGTTCAGATGATGAGGCTGCACTACGTAAAGAAGTTATTAGAAATAAAATACGTGCGATTGGTAAAATGGCACGTGTATTCTCTGTGTTACGTGAAGAGTCAGAATCAGTGCTGCAGCTTAAAGGTCTAACGCCAACTGGTGCCCTACCATTAGGTGCACTTTCGGGTGGAAAACAATCATTGAAGAATGCCATGCAAGGCTTTTCACCAAATCATAAAATCACTTCATTTGCCGAAGCGAAGGGTCTTGATGCTGTTAACGAACGTATGCCACCAAGACGTGATGCGACACCTTCACCTGCGGAGGAAGGTCAAAAAACGATATCAGCCGCAGCTGCTGCAGCAGCAAATGCTAATGCGAACGCAATCAATGGATAATTTTGTCAGAGTAAGGTGGAGTCCACTCATAAACATGTTTCATAATGCATAAATGCGTCCCTTAATGGAACAGATACCAAATCACATTAGGTTATTAAAAATATAAAATTATTATCAAAATTAAAAATGAATGAATGAAGTCATTGAAAACCAAAAATGTATGTATCTCGTCATTTCATCTCGTCCTACTTTCGTCGCGCGGCCAACTGTTCGTTGTCACACTTTTTTTTCAATGCACGACAGTTAAATCAACCGCAAATTCATCTAGTGATCGTGTATGTGGTCTTATACGTGCCATCTTCGTTGTAGTCATAGTCGCTTGCCGTTTGTGAGAAACTTACATGTACTATTGGTTAAGGTCAAGAAAGGCTGATCATCAATCATTAAACGGTCTATAATAATGGTTATAAAGAATCTCATAAAAGCAGCGGCAACAGCAAGCAGAAGAAGAATGTATTCCTTTATACTTATTCGAATCTTAGGTTTTATTTTTTGGTCAATTTTATAATGGCAAATATATTTATACATATTTAATTATATTTAATATACATAACTTTAAACTATTTATATTATCGATAATAATTATCAATGTTAATACTTAATTACTATTATGATTATATTGTTTCCTCTTTTTTCTATAAGAATTAAGAACTATCTATGAATTTATTAAATTTTTCTTACCAAAAGTAAAAAAGCAAAAAAGCAAAAAAGCAAAAAATTAAAATATAACATATAACATATAAATGAATTGTGAATTTACATTTAAGATTAAATAAAGTTTTAACAAAATATTTACAATACAAGCAAAAAATTTAAATATATTAAAACTTGATAAATATAACTTAACTTTTTTAAATTATTACAAAAGTAATCTTATAGCAATTTTGAAGTACTTTAAACAAATTAAAATTAAAATTAAAATTAAAACAAAAATAAATTTTAAACAAATATTTCCCATATGTGCATAAAGAAAACAGAAGCCCAGTTTATAATAATAAGATATATATGATAAAGAAAAGAATATACATTATTACAATTGCATTAGTTCAAAATTATTATATATATAAAATGCCTATACAATATTAAAATATTCCACAATTTCATTATATATAAAATTTAAAATTGAAAGCATATAAACCAAATTAGCATTTTAATTCAAATCAATCTACATTATTATAGAAAAATTAAAAATAAAAAAAAATATAAATATATATAAAAAAAATGTTATAAAAATTCTCCAAATCTCACATATACAACATTTCAGCAAATACAAAAATTATGAATAAAATTGTATTCGAATGCAAAATTTTTAATAAATGTTCATATAATAATAACTGAGTCAAAATAATTAATGGAATAATTAAATAATTAAACATTGACATTGTAAACATAAAATACAAATACGCACTCGCATATATTGTAACGAACAAATTAGAATTGCATTCAAACCAAAAAAAAAAAAATCAAATAAAATAAACAAATGCCATAAAAAGCAAATCGTAGTTAATCTCTTTAAATTTTCAACTTTATTATAAATTATAAATTTTAACATTAAATAAACAAAAAATTTAAATTAAAGAACAGAAACAGAAACGCAAATATTTCGACAGTCTAAAAATAAAACCAGAAGAAGCATTGACAAAACTTTATATAAAATTATTATAAAATAAATAACAAACGACAAAAATTAACATACAAAATAAGTAATACAAAAAGAACAACAACAACAACAAACAAACAAACAAACAAAAAAATTATCAATGTTATTAACATAATTAAGAAAATACAAGTACCTATCCTCAAAATAAAATGCGCACATTTATTTATTTCCTCTCAAACAAATTTGTTTTGTGTGATAATTTATACTTTTAGTGTTTATTTTTATAAATTAAAGAGCCAGCCCGGCGTATCTTATGTGTGAGTAAGCTTAACTGGAGAAAAATAGCTCCAAATTTGTGTAAATACATTTACGGCTTAAGTAAAAAAAATAAATAAATAATATCCGGTATGTGGGACATTCAGCAATGCAGAATAGAACTCATAGCACAATCGCTTATCAAGTGCAAAATAGAAATTAATAATTTATAAAATTATTGCTTGATCAATGCTAATGATATTGTGCTGTATATTGATAAAGTTTTTACGCCTAGCACCAATTATTCTCTAAACATTTCAGAGTTTTAGAACATATCGGTTATGTGATAATATATCAGTTTTCTTCATGAGGTCCATTTGCGGCATTTAATTTGACAAGAATTTCAAACATTTAAAAATGCTTATACAAAAGTTTTCTAAAGAAATTTTTAAGCCTAATGGCACTTTTATTTGCCAAATACTATTCTGGTGCTGTCATTTCAACTCCAGCCGTTGATTGTATTTTTATTATTATAAGAATATTCAGACGTATATATTCAGATGTGTACGTTAACTCGATGTAGGGATGAAATTGTATCTATTCTTGTGTTTGTGAAAATACCAACGTTACCAAGTAAACGTATTGTCAAGGTATGATAATATTGTTGGGATTTGGTAAAATACCAACTAATTCAAATTATTATAAAGTAGGTACTCTGTCCCCTTGAATACGCTTACAATATTTAATGTTTTTAAAACAATAACCTCTATGTAGATTTAATTATATCGAGTATTGCTAGGGACTGGTGTTTGTCGGGTACAAAAAAGATCTTATCTGGCTAATTTATCACTTTAACGCAAAGCATAGATCGGTAGATTTCCTAACTGAATCTGTAGACGCTGCCTTTGATTTTTGTTTAAGTTCATTCGCCACCACCATATCTCACCACAAACTAGCGTATATAATGGTCCCCCAGCATTCTTCTGTCGTCTACCTATTCGCTCACTGCAGTTGAGTAACCAAATTTAGACAAGATTGTTAGCTTAACAGGGTCACCACGTGCAGGTGGATACTGGAAGTTTAAGAAGGAGAGGCTAGTAGCAGTAACTGAGGCTATCCCTATCCCATAGTTGGTTAGTGAGCACTTCCCCATTTATAAATGATGTGATATTATGTATTTGATTATGTAAAAAAAATTCATTATGATAAAAATTAAATCATTTTATTTAAATCAAATTAGTTTTAGATATGGTATGTTACTCTAAAACATTTATAGCATAAATATGGATTAATAGAATACTTAATATCAAATATTTGGCAATTATGTCAACTACTGAAATTAAAATTAAATTAAAAACAAATTTATTCTCAGTACTTTATTTTAAGTGTTACCTTAAGCATGATATAGACGATGCTACATGCATGCATACAAAGAATGCGCTTTGCTATACACTTTATATACTGTCTACTGTCAAGGCTTTGACAGTATATACCAAAGCCTTGCATGGTATATACTGTCTACTTTATCTACTGTCTATATACTGTCTACTGAAAGACCGAAATTTGGCATTCATACTTGAATAACCAGTGCGATTTGGTAGCACGGAATACTTGGTTTGCATTCATGTAGTATCGTCTATATCATACTTTAAATATTTGTGAGTATTAGTATTATTCAATTAAGGTAACATAACTGTATATAAAATTAATTTAGCGCTAATAAGAAATTGCTGTACTTTGACAAATTATGTTACAAAATATTATGAAAAAATGTGTCATTTTGATCTTTTTAAAAATGTTCATTGCAAAATTCACAATTTCTATCACATTCATATTATTTCATGTATTTATTGTGATATATATGAAATTTATTATAATACAAGCTTTCTGGTCGGAAGCACAATTGCATAGTATTCTAGAAATTTACTTTTTCGATAAATTTTATATATAAATCCAACTTTGGTAACTGATTGAACGTACTCAATGCGAAATTTAACGAACACAACGAAAAACAGAACTGTCATGAGGACGAGTGTAGTTTTTTTGGCCAGAAGCAAAAAATTTTTCACCAACGCTAATTTATATATTTTGCATAAATAAAAAGAGATTAGTAGTGAAATTATATGAAAATAAAACGAACGAAATGTATTTTTTAATGTAAAAATGATTTAAATTTTAAAAGATTTAAATAATTCGATATAAAAGTGCAATATTCAGTAAACCAGCGGGGTTGGTGAGAGGTAAAAACATCAATAAAGAAGGGAGGAAAAATTCCATTAAACTCACAATAGTAAAAAATCTACAAAGTCCACTTGCAAATTGTAAGTAAAACTAGTTTTTATTACTATCTTGATTTTTTTTTTGAAATAGTATTTGAACTATGCTATTCATATAATATATTTAAAATGGAAAGTATTTTTATAATGAATTGACAATAAAATATTCTGCGTAGATACACCTTCCCCCGCCTGCTGTATTGAATTTCCAGCACAACAGCAAATTATGTCTTCGAATAACCAATCGAGTTCAAGTCAAGGAGTTAATCCAACTACAGCCGCTGGGTCAACAAGTGCTGGACAACGGACAGTGCCACAAGATGTGCCATCATCATCTCAAGAAAGTCCTACACGTGTCGTTAAGACACCCGCTGTTAATACGAAAGAGCGAGTTATTGACAGTGTGCCATTTCCACCATCACATAAACTTACAATGGCTGAAGTATTTGATGCGCGTACAGGTAAACCTAATCATGATATATTAAAGCAACATTTTGTGCTCGAAGGTAGAATTGAAGAAGCACCTGCTCTACGAATAATCCAAGAAGGTGCTGCACTTTTGCGCCAAGAAAAAACTATGATTGATATAGAGGCACCAGTAACTGTGTGTGGTGACATACATGGACAGTTTTATGATTTAATGAAATTGTTTGAAGTTGGTGGCTCACCAGCCAGTACTAAATATCTATTCTTGGGTGATTATGTTGACCGAGGCTACTTTAGCATTGAATGTGTTTTATATTTGTGGTCACTTAAAATAACTTATCCCACAACGTTGTTTTTACTACGAGGCAATCATGAATGTCGCCATTTAACCGAATACTTCACATTTAAGCAGGAATGCAAAATTAAATATTCGGAGCGTGTGTACGATGCTTGCATGGAAGCATTTGATTGTCTGCCGCTGGCGGCTCTAATGAATCAACAATTTTTGTGCGTGCATGGTGGACTCTCACCAGAGATACATGAATTAGAAGATATAAGACGTTTAGATCGTTTTAAAGAACCACCTGCTTTCGGGCCTATGTGCGATCTTCTATGGTCTGATCCTTTAGAAGATTTTGGAAATGAAAAAAATTCAGATTTCTATACACATAATTCAGTACGTGGTTGTTCATACTTTTATAGTTATGCAGCCTGTTGCGACTTCCTGCAAAATAATAATCTATTATCAATCATACGAGCACATGAGGCGCAGGACGCTGGCTATCGTATGTACCGAAAGAGTCAAACCACCGGTTTCCCTTCACTTATTACCATATTCTCAGCACCAAATTATCTCGATGTGTACAACAACAAGGCGGCTGTGCTTAAATATGAAAATAATGTAATGAATATACGACAATTTAATTGTTCGCCTCACCCATACTGGCTTCCAAACTTTATGGATGTATTCACATGGTCTCTACCATTCGTTGGCGAGAAAGTAACAGAAATGCTAGTCAATGTACTGAATATCTGCTCTGATGATGAATTGATGACAGAAGAAAGTGAAGAACCCTGTTCAGATGATGAGGCTGCGCTACGTAAAGAAGTTATTAGAAATAAAATACGTGCGATTGGTAAAATGGCACGTGTATTCTCTGTGTTACGTGAAGAGTCAGAATCAGTGCTGCAGCTTAAAGGTCTAACGCCAACTGGTGCCCTACCATTAGGTGCACTT